TGAATGGGGGGAGGGGCAGAGGGAGATGGAGAAGTAGGCTCCCTGCTGAGTGGGGAAGCCCAGCTTGGGGCTCAATCCCAGGACCCCAAGATCACGACCTGAATTGAAGGCAGCCGCTTAACCAACTGGGCCACCCAGGCACCTCATGATTTATATGAACTTTAACACACATTATGCTCTTCATTTTGCCTTAAAAGTACCATTTTAGGTACTTTTCTATAGCCAGTTCTTTTCAATACGTTTTATTAGATAAGAATTAGAATTACATGTCAGAAAGATTGGGAAATGGATGCAGGAACAAAAATGGCCTGTAATCCTACTGTCCTAATGCAACTAGTATCATTTTTGTGAATTATCTTGTAGTATTTTCATATCATACGCATGATGATTCACCTGGTTGTTTCCATGCTATAACTATCTGATTTTTTTTACCACATTGGATCATAACTTTTTTTCATATTTCTTTTAAAATATTTTAAAATATTTTATTTATTTATTCATGAGAGAGAGAGTGAGAGAGAGAGAGAGAGAGGCAGACACAGGCAGAGGGAGAAGCAGGCGCCATGTAGGGAGCCTGACGTGGGACTCGATCCCGGGACTCCAGGATCACACCCCGGCCGAAGGCAGGTGCGAAACTGCTGAGCCACCCAGGGATCCCTTTTTTCATATTTCTGTGTAGTCTTTATAGTTTTGCAACCTCTTAAAGGTAATTGGCTATTTGTAGTTAGTTTTTGCCTTTTATTTGTTAGAAATAAATTATTACTTGGGTCACCTGGATGGCTCAGTGGGTTAAACGTCTGCCTTCTGCTCAGGTAGCAATCCCAGGGGGCTGGGATGGAGCCTCCCAACATCAGGCTCTCTGCTCAGCCAGGAGTCTGCTTCTCCCTCTGCCCCTCCCCTTGCTCTTGCTCCCTCTTCCTCCCAAATAAATAAATAAAACCTTTACGAAAAGGAAATAAATTTTTACTTTAAAATGATTGTTTAGGGATCCCTGGGTGGCGCAGTGGTTTGGCGCCTGCCTTTGGCCCAGGGCACGATCCTGGAGACCCGGGATCAAATCCCACGTCGGGCTCCCAGTGCATGGAGCCTGCTTCTCCCTCTGCCTATGTCTCTGCCTCTCTCTCTCTCTCTCTCTCTCTGTGACTATCATAAATAAATAAAAATTAAAAAAAAAGAAATCCTTTAAAATAAAATAAAATAAAAATAAAATAAAATGATTTTTAGGGACACTTGGCAGGTTTAGTCTATAGAGCATGTGACTCTTAATCTCAGTGTCAGGAATTCAAGCCCCACATTGGGTGTGGAGCCTATTTAAAATAATTTTTAAATAATTTTAAAAATTTCTAATAAAAAAAAAAGAACCTATAATCTCACCATCCAGGTAATACAGAATTATATATTATATATATACTATCCAGACAATTCTCAAAAGCTCTTTAAAAAATAGGACATGTTGATGTTTAAAAAAGTAAAAAACCTCCTCATTGTCCATCTTCAACTTCTCTGCCAAAGTTTTCCATTATTAACAAGTTTTGTGTACACACACACACACACACACACACAGTTTGTTATATTTTTAAGACTGAGATAATCATACAGTACCATAACCTGTTCTGCATTGTGCTTTTTTAACTTACGTTTTAGAGATCTCCTAAAGATCAGTAAATGCTTCAATTTGCTAATCAATGCCTATGTATTTTTTAAAGGTTTTATTTAGTTGAGAGAGAAAGCAAGTGAGCAGGAGAAAGCATGAGGTGGAGGGAGAGGCAGATGGAGGGGGAGAAGCGGACTCTCTGCTGAGCAGGGAGCCTGATGAGGAACCCCATCCCAGGACTCTCAGATCATGACCTGACCCAAAAGCAGACACTTAAATGACTGAGCCCCCCCCCCAGGTACCCCAATGCCTGTGTATTTTTAAAAATTATTTTTTTCATTATTCACTGTAGAAAAATTAGGAATTCTAGACAAGTAAATATGTGAAAACAAAATTACCCATTTATATCGACCAGTCATAACTTCTAACATTTGGCATTTATACTGCTTATTTTTAATTAATTTAAGAACACCTTGTGATTTCCATACAGAAATTACAAAACAAGAAACAGACTTCATTTCAAATATATAAACAGTGCACTGGAGTTTAAAGCCTATTGATAACATTGTTAGAGAAGAATGTTGACTTACTCCAAGGCACTTAGATATTCCTGGGGTATAAGCATGATTTCTCTTTTCCTTTCACCAGGATGTTCTCAGGTTGAGGTCACTGCTCCTGCTCTTTGAAATATTTTCAATGTAGAAGATATGGAGTGTTGAAATCATGCTGACAGTTGGAGTTGGCCATTCCCAATCCCATGTCAGAACCAAAAGGTAATGTAATGGCCACATTCTTCTTTTAAACAAGGTAAGTGATGGGGGCACCTGGGTGGCGTAGTGATTGAGCGTCTACCTTTGGCTCAGGTCATGATTGCAGGGTCTTGGAATCAAATCCCGCATTGGGCTTCCCTTAGGGAGCCTGCTTCTCCCTCTGCCTATGTCTCTGCCTCTGTGTGTCTTTAATGAATAAATAAATAAAATCTTAAAAAAAAACACACAAAAAAAACAAGGTAAGTGAGAAAACAAATCGTTTTTTTTCTTTTCTTTTTTTTTTTTTTTTTAATGATAGTCACAGACTATCAAAAACTTAAAAACATTTAAGTTCGACATTTGCCTTTTAATTTTGCTCATCATATTTCTCACTTGCTAAGGTTAAATATTTTTATTTTAGTTAAAACCATTGATTTCTTCCTTTATGGCATCTGACATGATATCAAGCTTTAAAAAATCCACCCCCGGAATCTTAAAAAAAAAAAAAAAAGGCAGCCCGGGTGGCTCAGTGGTTTAGCGCCGCCTTCAGCCCAGGGCGTGATCCTGGAGACCCTGGATCGAGTCCCACGTCGGGCTCCCTGCATGGGGCCTGCTTCTCCCTCTGCCTGTGTCTCTGCCTCTCTATGTCTCATGAATAAATAAATAAAATCTTAAAAAAAATCCACCCCCATTTTAATACATAATACTATATATTTTTTCTAGTCTTTTATATATATTTATACACTTATATTTATAATTCACTTGAACTATAATTTGTGACACCAAATAGAGACTTTGCCCACCCCCATAAATGGTTAACTAATCATCTCATCACCATTTCCTCCAGCAATTTTTTTTTAAGATTTTTTTTTTTTTAAATTCGTGAGAGACACAGAGACAGAGAGGCAGAGACATAGGCAGAGGGAGAAGCAGGATCCATGCAGGGAGCCCAAGGTGGGACTCGATCCTGGGACTCTAGGATCATGCCCTGGGCCAAAGGCAGGCGCTAAACCTCTAAGCCACTGAGGTGCCCCACCACAATTTGAAATACATGTCTCACACACACATCTTTGGGGATGTTTCTGGACTTCCTGTTTGTTTCCTTAGTTTCTGTGTTAATTAAGTTGGGAAAACTTAAAGAAAGGATGCTCAGAGGTGCCTAGGTGACTCGGTTAAGTGTCCACATCTTAATTTTGGCTCAGGTCATGATCTCAGGGTTATGAGATTCAGCCCCGTGACAGGCTCCCCACTGGGTGTGGAGCCTCTTTAAATCCTTTCTCTCTCTCTCTGACCCCCCCCCCCCCAAAAAAAAGGATGCTCAAAGGCAATGATAGTCTCATGATATACTTGAAGGTCAAAGGCAAGCTGCCAACCTACCTTATCTGTATTTCCTTCCTTTTTTTTTTTTTTTTTAAATGTGATGCCTCTGTGTTGATTATATTTTGTCCTCTGTTGTTTCCTGTCACTTCTTTAGACTTCTTGGAAAGCTTTGGTGAGGATTCTTAGGATATATGCAATCTTGATTTTCACTGAACACTAGAGAAGGCACCTATAGATATAATAGCAAATGTCAGTGGATTTTGGATTTCCCTGCAAACTTTTTCAACACTTCTGGGTATGGTCAACAGTCCCTAAAAGGTAGGCAAGCTGCCAGGATCGTCATACTGGACTCCAGGTTTTTCTCTGCAAGGATGTGATGGGTTGTGGTGTGGGAGGCAGGTGAATTAGGAAGGCAGTGGGGGATCCCTGGGTAGCTCAGTGGTTTAGCTCCTGCCTTCGAGACCCAGAATCAAGTCCCACATCGGGCTCCCTACATGGAGCCTGCTTCTCCCTCTGCCTGTGTCTCTGCCTTTTTCTCTCTGTGTGTCTTTCACGAATAAATAAACAAAATATTTAAAAAAAGGAAGGCACTGTGCAATATGCAGGCAACCTTTATATTCATAAACAGTTCTAAAACTCCACTGCTTCAAACTAGGCTTGGGCAGCACGCTCTTATGATGCTGTGGGCTCCCCCTGGTCTCTGCTCAACTCCAGGAGTGTAAGTGATCCTGCGGCCGAAGTAGCTTGAAGCCTGGATGGAGCTGGTCCTAGGGTCGGCCGGCATGCCTGGTCAGTGTCATACTGTTTTAACTACTGTCACTTTAAAATATTTTAATAATTTGTAGGGCACACCAGTTTTCATTTTAGGTATTGAGAGTAATTTAATTTTTTATGCCTAACTTTCTAGGTAGATAGAGCAGGTGTCTAGGGCGGAAAGGCCTCCTCACTCAGCAAGTCCAGTTTGCCTTGCAGTAGAACTCTGAGAGCCTGACCCCTCACCTAGGGCTACAAAAAAAATCCGGCTTTGGCTTTCCTGCGCCGCGGGGCAGCGAGCGGACGGGCCGTGGCCTCCGCGGCTGCCGCGTAGGAGCGCGCAGCCCCAGCCGGGCGGGGCCGCAGCTCCCCCAGCTCCGGGGGCGGGGCCGTGGCCGCTCGGGGGTGAGCGCCCGGGCCGCAGCGCCCGGGCCGCAAGCGGAGTCGCGTCGTGCCCTCCCCGCCCGCCGGGCCCCACGCCGGGCCCCGCGCCCGCTAGCGCGCCCTCGGCACCGGCCTGCGGCAGCCGGCCCTCCTCCGCCCAGTGGCCCGCGGCGGGCCGGGAGCGAGCGGCCGGGCGAGGCATGGCGGGCCGCCGGGCGCCGGGGGAGAAGCGCTGGCAGCTGGTGCGCTGGTGAGTGGGCACCGGGGTGGGGCGCGGGGCCTGGTGCGGGCGCTCACCCGCGCGCCCTGCACCCCGAGGTCCGGCCGGGCGCGGAAGGAGCGCGGCGCTGGCCCAAAGTTTCTTCTCGAGCTGAGGTTGCGGGGCGGGATGTACGCGGAGCCGCGGGACTGCCGGGTCCTAGCCATCCCCGCGCGGGGTCTTTGCGGTTCTCCGGAGAGGTGGGCACTGGGACTGGGACCGGGACCCTGTCCCTGACGTCAAGGTTTGGAGGGACTCCAGGCCTTTCTCTCACAGGCTGTTGGCAGGGTTTCCCCCCTGCCCTCCCCCCACCCCCAGCTCAGCGGTCTGATTTGTGCTCTGGGGGTCCCCCGCCTACCTCCATGCCTTGTGCTGCTTTGGTCCGGCCACGGAATTGGGCCCCAGGGCGCACAACCCACAGCCTTCAGCGACCCTGTCCAAGGGGGATGCCCCGTCTGTCTACACAGGGACTTCTGGGGGTAGGCACTTTGGGGTTGTGGGCTTAGAGTTAGGGGCCTCGGAGGTGAGGGACGAGGTCCCTGTGTTGGTGGGTGGTTGCCCCCACCCCCACCGCGGCCCTACCTAGGCCTCGGGTATCAGGTTACCTGACTGCAGGCTGAGCGGGTTTCAGACGCAGCAGGGAGTCACCTGGCTTGGGCCTTTGTCTCCAGTGTCCGAACGAATGTTGAGGGCTGCTTCAGCCAGAGGCCTGACCTCTGCTTGGCAGGATTTAGACTGCAAGGTAGCCTGCTTTGGGAGGACTCCAAGAATCAAAGGAGATGTCTGGCTGGGACCACTCCCTGTCCCACATCATCCAACCCACATTGGACCAAGGGGCATCTCTGTGGTAACATTCTGGACTCATCTCCCTAGGTATATTCTGTAGCTGGAAAATGAATACAAATAATATCATCAGGGGCCCCTGGGTGGCTTCGTAGGTTAGGCGCCTGCCTTTGGCTCAGGTCATGATTCTAGGGTCCAGGAATCAAGCCCCATATCGGGCTCACAACTCCTCTGGGAGTCTGCTTCTCTCTCTCCCTCTGCCTGCAGCTCTCCCTGTTTATGCTCATGCTCTCTCTCCCTGTCAAATAAATAAATAAAATCTTTAAAAAAAAAAGAGAGAGAGAATAATATCATCAATAATAACAAGCTGGGCTTCCTGCACGCTTCTTACTGGCTCTGGGGTCCAGGTGTTGCACTACTCTTCATAGTGATCCTCAGGGGAAGGTTTTAGCGCCTCCATTTTAGAGATGAGGAATCGGAAGCTTACAGAAGGAAGGTGGTTAGTCAAGGCCACCCAGCAAACAAGTGGCTGAATCAGGGTTTAAGCCCATGTCTTGCCCAGGGGGTTAACTGCTCCTCTGTTTTGCTTATCTCCAGGACCATCCCATTCCGCCTGCCCATATAGCCAAGTTCACATTGTCAGAAAATCCTAGCATGTCAGAGCAGGAGGGGTCATTGGGTTTCCAGCCTGCTCAGCCCACCTCTGCTCTGGGAGGGGTCTAAAAATCAAAATCCAAATAATCAAAATTATTTTCAAATTAAACCCCCAGTACATAAATCAGATAAACATAGAGTTAATCTGTTTGAAGAGTTGGTGGAGAGCTGGCAGTTACTTTTTTTTTTTTTTAAGATTTTATTTATTTATTCATGAGAGACAGAGAGAGAGGCAGAGACACAGGCAGGGGGAGAAGCAGGCTCCATGCAGGGAGCCCAATGAGGGACTCTATCCCAGGATCAGGCCCTGGGCTGAAGGCGCTGCTAAACCGCTGAGCCACCCCGGCTGCCCAAGCTGGCAGTTACTTAGTGCCCTCTCCCTGGTAAGGAGGCACTACCCCGGGAGTCCAGGACCTCCTAGATCAGTTTGCTTGGTTTAATTCCTTACCTGTCTCACAGAAGAGGAGGAACTAGGAAGTTTTAAAGGCAGAGAGCGGGGGAATCCCTGGGTGGCTCAGAGGTTTAGTGCCTGCCTTTGGCCCAGGGTGTGATCCTGGAGTCCCGGGATCGAGTCCCACATCGGGCTTCCTGTGTGGAGCCTGCTTCTCCCTATGCCTGTGTCTCTGCCTCCCTCTCTGTGTCTCTCATGAATAAATAAAATCTTAAAAATAAATAAATAAAGGCAGAGAGCTTGGATTCCTGCTCTGAATCTCTCTCTGCCCTGGTACTGCCTGGCTGGATTGGATCTTGGGCTGAAGTGGATGATGCATGAACTATTGTTAGTGCCCTAGTTAGGTTTTGGGTTACCTTTCACCCCCCGGATAAAAGTCCATTACCGGGAGAAGGTCCTGAAGATGTGGCTTAAGTGGTTAGGCAGCTTGGCAGGGAGCTTGAGGGCAAGATACCCTCCGATTCTCATGGTGTGCTCCCAACATGTCAGCCTTGGCCCCAGAATTTCCAGAATTTCACATTGAGTCAATTTACTCCACTCAAACTGGCTCAAGAGAAAAGGGATTTATTGGCTGACAGAACTGAGAACTCCAGGGACTTTTCTTTGTTTTTTTTAGATTTTATTTATTTGTTTTGTTTGTTTGTTTATTTATTTATTCATTCATTCATTTATTCATGAGAGACACAGAGAGAGGTAGAGACACAGGCAGAGGGAGAAGCAGGCTTCATGCGGGGAGCCTGATGTGAGACTTGATCCCCGGACCCAGGATCATGCCCTGAGCAGAAGGCAGGCCCTAAACTGCTGAGCCACCCAGGGATCCTCTCCAGGGACTTTTCATGTTTCAGGCACAACTGCTCTCAGGTGCTCAAATGTCACCAAATAATGCTTTATGTCCCTCTACTTTCCTCTGTTTTGCTTTTATTTCCTCGTGGAGGCAAGTTGGCTATCAGCAGCTGTAGGCAGTTCTCCAGGTTAGTGACCTTCATGGGGAGAGCTTTCCTAGTTCAGTAGTCCCAGGATGTCATCCCATTGGCCTTGCTTGGGTCACATGACATTCCTTGAGCTAACCACTGTGGGCTCCACAGTTTGGCCAGGTTGGGTCATGTGCAGGCTTAGGGAGCTGAGGGTTGTGGTCAGTTCTACCCCAACTACAGGATTTTGAATGGTAAGTTATTGGGTAACAAAAACACATGGAAACTCACAATAAAGTTAAAAGGCAAACTAGAAACTGGATAACAATATAGACACAAATTAGGCTCACTGCCAATTTGCTAAATGTAAGAAGTGCTCTTTTTTTTTTTAAGATTTTTATTTATTTATTCATGAGAAACACAGAGAGAGGCAGAGACACAGGCAGAAGGAGAAGAAGGCTCCATGCAGGGAGCCCGACATGGGACTCGATTCCAGGACCTCAGGATCATGCCCTGGGCCAAAGGCAGACGCTCAACTGCTGAACCACCCAGGCATCCCAAGAAGTGCTCTTATAAATAAGTTTAAAGGGTGCCTGGATGGCTTGGTCAGTTAAGCAGCTGACTCTTGATTTTAGCTCAGGTCATGATCTCAGGGTCATGAGATCAAGTGCCTTGTGGAGCCCTGGGTCAGGCTCCACAATCAGTGGGGAGTTTGCTTCTCTCTCTGCCCCTCCCTCTACTCATGCTTGTGTACTCTCTAAAATAAATAAATAAATCTTTAAATAAATAAATAAATTTAAAGAGAAAACAAGAAAAGAACAAAACCACCACTGACTGGGTGGCATAAACAACAAACATCTATTTTTTTCACGGTTCTGGAGGCTGGAAGTCCAAGATCAGGGTGCCAGCATGGTCAGGTTCTGATGAGAGCCCTCCTCCTGGCTTATAGATGGCTGCCTTCTCACTGTGTCTTCAATATAGTGAGAAAGCACATAAGCTCTTTTGGTATCTCTTCTTCCTTTTTTTTTTTAAAGATTTTATTTATTTATAAATATTTATTTATTCATGAGATACACACAGAAAGAGTCAGAAACACAGGAAGAGGGAGAAGCAGGCTCCCTGCAGGGAGCCCAGATATGGGACTCAATCCCAGGACCCCGGGATCACGACCTGAGCTGAAGGCAGATGCTCAACGGTGAGCCACCCAGGTGTCCCTTATTTATTTATTCATGAAAGATACAGAGAGAGGCAGAGACATAGGCAGAAGTAGGCTCCCTCTCAGGAGCCTGATGTGGGACTCGATCTCAGGACTCCAGGAATCATGCCCTGAGCCAAAAGCAGACGTTCAACCTCTGAGCCATCCAGGGGCCCCCTGGTGTCTCTTCTTAATAAGGACTTGAATTCTATTGGATCAGGGCCTTATATAACCTTAGTTCCACAAAGGCCACAATATAGTTGTATTGGGGGAGTAGAGCCTCAATACATGAATTTGAGGTGGGGGTGAGGGGATGGGGATGAAGATACAAACAGTCCATAATACTTACCCAGAAAAACTTGGGAGTCTAAGTGGTAAGTGATTTAGGCTCAACACCTGGAAGTTGTTGGATGCTGCTTAGGGTCTCATTGGGGGAATACTGTCTGAACATGAACCAAGGGAGCCAACTTTGGAGCCCAAGAGTGGGACACCACAGCAGAAACAGCAGATGCAGAAGAACAAGGACTCCCCCCCCCCCCCCGCCCCCTATGGCGGTTTACCTGTCCCCCGGGCTATGCAGGACTGGCATTCAACATTGCCACCTTGTGGTATAGAGAGCAGGAGCACCAGAGGGCTGCAGACTACAGTTCTCTCTAGATCTGCTATTTCAGAAGCAGAACTGAGGCTCTGGGGTTTTTGGAGCATTCTAAAATCAAGATTTTAAAAAAATCTATTTATTCATGAGAGACACACACAGAGAGAGGCAGAGACACAGGCAGAGGGAGAAGCAGCCTCCATGCAGGGAGCCTGATGTGGGACTCGATCCCGGGACTCCAGGATCACGCCCTAGGCTGAAGGCAGGTGCTAAGCCGCTGAGCCACCCAGGGATCCCCAAAAGCAAGATATTAAACTTTATAATAACAGAGGTTGAAGCAGAAGGAGGATTCAAGCGACTAATTAGTTGGGAAAAAAAGAGGTCTGACTGAATTCATACCCT